AGAAACCTTTGAAAAGTTATTTTATTCGTCACATATTAGAAGTAAAATGATAAGACTTTTGAGAAAATTTCTATAGTTATAACAAAATTAAAGTTATGATGTGATAAAAAATGAGTTAGTAAATAAAGACTAAAAAACTTGCTATAAGTTATACGAAAACTTATTAGGCAACAGTCAAAAGCAAATAAGTTAAATTTGAAAGATTTTTTTTGTTACCTACATAATTAAATACAGAAATGAAAAAAAGGTTAAACAAAGAAACATTTCAATATTTTTTTTAAACATGCAACATAATGCATTTTTTTGCTAAGAATCCAAAGCACCTCTACATGAATAATCAACAAGCAGTCAAAGATTCTTTTTAAGCATTGAAGAACCATTTAAAAAATAATGGTGTCATATCTAAAAAATTTTCAACTTGCATTTGTGAGGTCTTTGGTGCTTTTTTGATTTAAGAACTACTGAAACATTCATTATAAAAAATTTAGATTTTGCATATGAAAATGTTCTTCTAAGATATTACTTCTCTGTACAAAAAAGGCATACAAAAAACCTTAGCATTAAACTACCAACTGGTATCACTAACTTCAATTGCATGTAAAATAATGGAAGGCATAATTAGATGTAAACTTGAAACTTTTTTTTATAAGTTTAAACTAATAGTCTAATAGTTAAGCAAAAGCATGATTTAAAAAAAAAAATTTCATGCTCAACGTGCATCAAAAAACCTATTTAAAACACTAGATTCTATTTCAACCACCTTAAATAATGGTAAACCTGTTTTTTTTTTGTTTTTGCATTTTGCTAGGGTGTTTGACTAGGGTGCTAGGTTGCTAGGGTGTCACATAAAGGATTATTGCCTAAACTAACAGCTTATAGAGTGTTTGGTCTCACAACTCAATGGTTTGAAACTTTTTTGAAAGAAAGAAAAACAAGAGTTATGATGTATCTTCTCAGCCAGAAATTACCAGTGATATGCCACAGGGGTTGATAATTAGATTATTCTATTTATAAATGGAAACTTGCTAACACTCTAAAAAGTGTAAGCAAGCTGTATGCAGATGGCACCAAAATATTAAATAAACTGTTTTCTTGTGTATCAACACTTTCGTTGCAATCAGAACTTTTAAGTGGACTTTAGACTGACTTGTGAGTTTTATTATTTCTAAATGTATACTTATGCACTTTGACCGGAATAATGAAAAATTTACAGAATCTATTGTGATCTTAGAGTAATCTTCTCAAGCAATCTGGAATGAAAAAATCAAGTAGTAGAATGGTTAACTAAAGTGAATCAAATGTTGGGTCAGATTAAAAAATACTTTGTTCATTTAGATATTAGACTTAATGTTTCTTTTGTGAGACCACTGTTTGAGTTTGCAGTCACCAATTTAAAAGTATAAAATGGATTTACTGGAAAGTAAAAATATTGCATATATATATATATATATATATATATATATATATATATATATATATATATATATATATATATATATATATATATATATATATATATATATATATATATATATATAGATAGATAGATAGATAGATAGATAGATAGGTAGATAGATAGATAGGTAGATAGATAGATAGATAGATAGATAGATAGATAGATAGATAGATAGATAGATAGATATATAGATATATAGATAGATATGTAGACCACACAGCTAAAAATTAAATTTAATTTTATAAAAATTACCATTGCAACCTTGCCTCTTCCCTAACCTCATTTATTTTTCATACTGTCTGTAATCCATCACTTTGTATCGAATATATATAAACCAGACTAAAACCCTATTGTGAACAAAATGCTTGAAATAAATGTTTCTCAGGCACTTTTTGATCTTGGCATATGGGATGTTACACACATAAGACAATGCATTTCTGGTTTTCCCTACATATTAAATAATTAGCATACATAAATAAATAACTAACTTTTAATATTTCAATTTCTCTTAGTGAACATATCTTAAATGGACAATCAACCAAGAGGTTTGGCTTTGAAAGCTTTGCAAATTTCAGAAACTTGTCTCATATCATGTTTATTTATAATATCAAATGGTTCTGGTTCTTTGTGAGAGATCTGGAAAACATTCCTCCAATTGTCTGGTGTTTCTGCTAGAAACTTTTAATTTGCAGTGGTCATGTATCCAGCACATAAATTTCGAAAATCATAAATTCAAAAATCATGTATCATAGCATACAGACCATTTGTTACTAACAGTTTTATCATAGCAATTAAAATATACTTTTTGAGTTAAAATTAATAGTGCCCATATTGATTAGGCATTTCAGGTTTTGTTTGGAAAAGTCAAGCAGATTACCTCACCATTAAAAGTGTGCTGAGTTTAAAGGCTTGCAGTTCTTTTTTTCTGATAAATTGTTTCAGCTTTTCTCTGATGGAGCTGAAGTGATATATTTAAAGCATTCTTATTTTATGACATACTTTTAGCAGCATCAGAATCAGACAATTGAGTCTAATTTGTTACACCAGTTATTTCAATTATTTTGTTTTTAATCATTAGGTACACCTAATGATTTAACAAAATAATTTAAATAATTTAAAACAAAATTTGTGTCATTATTAAAAAAAAAAAGCTACATGTAATTCATATACAATAAACTAATGTCTTATTATATATGAAGATCAATATGTATAAGTACACATGTATGCAGTCAGCAAAATTCAGGTCGGCATATGGCAATGCCGACGCAAAAGCCGACCTATTTTTGCTTTAGGACATCTTTGCAAGTGGTTTGTATTTATTACATTGTCTACAACTGCTGACCTGAATATCCTAAAGTGTCGGCATGCAAATTGAAATACTTGTAAAAAATATCTAATATTCGTTAAATATTATTTTATAATTTTTTTATTGCAATTACTTGTTTGACATGTTTTATTAAAACAAAAATTCATTCATTTTTTTTCAATTCATTTTTTTATTTTCTCTTAAATTTACTCAAGCACAGCAAGGTTAAAAAATATTTTTAAATACCTGTTATTCTCAAGCTTATTTTTAGCGCAATTTTTATTTTATTAAGTTATGAAATTTTAATTTATTTTTTAATTTAAAACCATTTAACTAATAAAATAATTTACATGTTTACCGTTTTTTTAATATTATTTAAGATAAGAAAGTATATTAGGCTTTGCAAACCCTTGTTTCTTCTGACAGTAAATCTTCTGATCAAGTAAATTTGATTTCTAACATTATCTTAAGCGATATTTCTGATGATGATTGGACAGAAAATTCTGATAATGCACAGAAACAATGTTTATATATATAAGAAAAAAAAACTATTTGTAGTATTTTTAACTTTTGTTTTCCCTCCATCAATTTACATATAGTTACAAGTTCATACAATTAAATATTAAAAAGCAACACCCCGACTACTGGAGAATTAAATGCTTATTTCTTGTAGAGGTTAAACAACCGGATGTAAACTGTTTTAAACAAAATCTTCGCCTACAGCACATAAACTAAATTTGTATTTCTAAATGACGTACTTTCTATGACCAATCTAAAAAAACATTTAAAATGCAATAAATAAACAATGACCATTTATTTTTGTAAAAAAAAAAAAACAACTTCAAAACTGAAGTATCACTAATTCATAAATTTGCTATATACTTAATTTATTACACAAAATTAAATTGCTACATTCTTTAAAATATTATTGTCTGAAGCTATGCTATTATAAAGCAATCCTTTTATAATCAATTAATCATTACCCCTATCGTAACAGAAAGCAAAAAATCCAATTTTTTTTGCAGACCTAACATCGGCTAAGGTCGGCACAAGCATTTTGCTGACTGTGTATGCATATATATATATATATATATATATATATATATATATATATATATATATATATATATATATATATATATATTATATATATTATATATTATATTTTTGTGTATGTAGGTGTTAAATAACTTCTAATGTAAAATTCTTATATTTAAAATTGAATTGTTGGTTTTAACAATTTTTGATGATTGAACGAATTGTTTTAGTTCCCCTTACACAATTTTTTTGTCAAATCAAATATATCTATATTATACACACAGATACACACAGATTGGTTTGTGTATAAAATCTCTGAAAATGTTCAGATACTAATTATAAGAATAACTAGGAGAAGATTGTTTTGTTATTAATTTTATGCTTCATCTATAACAAAAATAAGGGAAGAAATATCCTAATTTTCCACCAGTATTATGTCAGAAATCCGAAATCCATCTTCATTAATATCAGAAATAATAAGGATCACAAAAGAATGAAAACATAAAATTTAAAACTTTTTAAATCTTCAAACCAACATCACTGAAATCATTATTCCTGAGAACAATATTTAGAAAAAGATCTATTAAAAAAACAATATTTTTTTAGAAAAATTTAAAAAAAATCTGTATTCCAAAATGTTATTATTTAAAAAATTAAAAAAAAAAATTTAAATTACTTTTAAAAATAATTATAATTTTAAATTTTCAATGCAAGCCGCATTTAACTCAACAAAGAGCCACATTTGAAATAGACTATCAGACTCCCAATTATTGCTTGTGTTCCATTTACAGTCAATCTTGCATAATCTCAATATTAACCTCAAGTTTTAATACAGAGCAAAACTAAACAAAAAAGATAGTCAGGAAACTTTGCAAAGTTAAGTTTATACCCATATCTATAGTTATTCTTTATACCTTGGTAGTAAAAATAAAAAGCATAAATATTTTATAATAATAAGTATTAAATATAAAAATCAAAAAACTTTTTAATCATTTATTCATATTAGTGTGTAAATGTAGTGGTATCCTTCTACTATATCTTATATGTTGTTAGAAAAAAGTAAAAATAAAAAAAAGTTAATAAAAATTTATCTTGCAGCATTTTTTTATTTTTTAGTGTCATATTTTTAGATATTTATGTTTAACATATCATTTTTTTATTAATATTATTATTATTATTTTTTTTTTAACTTTTTCTCAGGTGAAAGAAATTGGTTTGGTTCTTTACAATTGTTCTTGTGCTGCAGATGATCTTCAAAAGATATTTGAAACAAATTGGATGTTGTCCGAGAGCGGAGCAACTATTCCATCAAAATGGCCTCAAAAGTATCAAACAATATTTAATAAAGGTACATAATTTCCATTTTACTTATGTTATTAAAAACTTTAAATATGCATTTAATAGCAAAACAAAAGTTTTTGTTTCATTTTTTTGTTTATGTTATTCACCTCCCCAAGGCTGGAAAAGCCACTAAAGTGGAGGAGGCAAACTTAATTGTGGTTGCTCTCATAACTCTTTAATTCAAAAACACGAACCTTGACAAACAAGGTTGCTGCACTGAGAAATAATTTGAGTGTGATACTATCAGGGTGGGAATCAATATATATATATATATATATATATATATATATATATATATATATATATATATATATATATATATATATATATATATATATATATATATATATATATATATATATATAAGAATATGTATATATATATAAAGAATATGATATAATATTTGCATAGTATAATGCTTTTTGAAAGTTCAACTTTTTTTTAGACCGTCCTATGTTAACTCACATAAACAATGTTTTATCAAAGCTGTATTGGAGTACTTCTCCTCCAGAGTTTTGCCCACCAAATAGATCAAGTGAATTATCGTCCATATTAGATTTAATTAATGCAGCAAAAGAGTTTATTTACATATCTGTTATGGACTACCAAGCAGCCATTATTTACTCTCGCCCCCAGTAATTTTTTTATTTTCTGTATTTTGTACTCAAAAAAAGATATTTAAATATTTTGTTTTGATATTTATTTTTTGATAATTTTTTTATTTAATAGAACATTTTGGCCGGTGATCGATGATGCATTAAGAGGTGCAGTCTACAATCGTAATTTAACTGTGTTTATTCTTTCCAGTTTATGGAATTATACTTCTCCTGACCAAATAGCGTTTTTAAAGTCACTCAATGAATTTGGAAAAATATCTCGAAATAACTCATCTTTGCAAGTGGTTTGTATTTTTTTTTAACTTTTTTTATAGGTAATAATAGTAAAAAGAAAAATTGTATTTTTTAAGTGTAATTAATATATACGTACGAAAAAAAAAATGAAAAATTGTATAATTACACTTAATAATAATATTAGTGTATCTTAGTGTTACTGATATTTTGAACAAATTTTTTTATGTCTATAAAATAGAAGTTAATGCAAATATTTAAAATTAATAATTTTAAATATTTGTATTAACTCTTCAATTCTTTGTATTAAATCAAAATTATTTTAATTTTGAGTCCTATATTTAAAAATGGAAATACTGAAAGCAAAATTAATATTTGCATCTATACTTTATCAAGTATAAGAAAAATTATTAATGATAACTTAACTAAGTATTTTAAATCAAATAATTTTTTTTGCAATCAACAACATGGTTTCTTAAAAGCTGTACTACAATTTGATTAGAATTCTTTCATAACATACCAACAAATGCTACCTTAGATTTCATAACATGCTAATGCATTTATTAACAAATACAAGAGGCATTTTTAAAAATACTATAATTTTCAAAAAGCTCTTTACGCAATACCTAGTATCTATTAGTTATACACTATTATTAATATATATTTTTTTATCTATATTTTTTAAAGTATTCATATGATTTTAGTACTTGTTATTAGTTTTTTTTTTTTGAACCTTTAATTTCTTTTATCTATACATCAATAATCATTTTTTTTATATCAATATATCAATGATCTAATCCTACGGTTTTATTTTACTTAATGGTTATGACATTCTAGCGACTAAATAATAAACTTAATTGTCGATGTAACCAATTTTTTTTTTTTAGAAAATGTTCAAAATACCTTCTTCATCTATTCCCTACACTAGGGTAAGTCATAATAAGTTTATGGTAACGGATAATTCTGCACTTGTATCCACATCAAACTGGTCCGGTGATTACTTTGTTTCTACAGGAGGTGTAAGTCTAGTTTTTAACCAAACCGGTTTTGCTTCACCAAACAATGTCCAAGATAAACTAAAGAAATTATTTTTAAGAGATTGGACGTCAAGATTTGCTTTGAATATTGATAAATTATAAGACAATTTGAATGAGTTATTTTAAGTATATTTATATTTTAATAATGCATTTTATCAGATTATACTTTTTCGTACATTTTAAAAATATTTTTATTTTTTTTTATTGCAGCCTTCCGATTTCTTATACCTTAGTTGCTAACTACAAAAATTTCTAACTACAAAAAGTTGCTAACTAAAATTGCTAACTACAAAAAAAAGTATTTGGTTTTTATTTTAAATTAAATCTATATATTTTCTCATAATTTTTCTAACCATATGCGAGAAATTACAAATATTTAAGAAATGTAAGAATCTGAAAAAGCAAACTTAATCAAAAAATTTGAAAAAAACTCCATACTTGAGAAGAAAAATATAAGTATCTAATTAAAGTTAACCAGTCTATTGAATTTTATTCACACGCTACATTTTGACATAAAGCCCTATAGCTATAGGGCTTTATGTCAAAATGTATAGAGAGCACCAAATCTCTGGTCTTCAAATTTATCATTATGATTACCAAAATAATGAAAAATTCTGTTTTATTTGTGACCCAATCTCATTTTAGAATTAAATCCCAATCTAATTCAAACTTGTTTAATCCAATTTGTTTTTAGTTAAAGTTAAACATAACTTTTTATTAAAAGTCTTAAACTTTGAAATTGGATCGGAACTAAACTTTTTTACTTTTTAGTGTTTTTTATTTTCAAATAACAATTTACATTTATGACATTTTTCAAGTCAAATAACATTTATCAAGTCAAACAGATAGATAAATCATGAATTTTGAAATCAAAGTAGTGAAAATAAAAGATAAAAGTAGTGAAAGCAACCGTTAGACACGTACTTGCGCCGGTATCGCGGTAAATTAAGACAGGAAATTATGACTTTGAAAGTCTCTAAGATCAGTAAAAGAAGATGAACTTTTAAAACTCGTAGAGTTTTAAAAGTTTGATTTATTTAGAATATTTTGCAAGGAAGACTCAAGGAAGACTTAATGATTCATTAGTTTATCTACTTATTTATTTTTCGAATAGATGTTGTTTGCAATCCAAAGAGCATTAAAAGCACACTTGTGTTTATTTGTGAAATTTGTTTATTTGTTTACGTATGAAAAAATTATAGCGCGTTATTTAAACACGCTTTTGCCTTCGAATCAACTTTTATTCTATTCTAAATTCTATTTACAGTTTTGAAAAAAAAAACTGTAAATAGAATTTAGAATAGAATATATTTTTACTGCAGTATAGAACGACTTCTTTTAAATTTTCTTTTTGAATCGCAAGTTCTTGGAGTCTTAATTTACCGCTCCAACCATAATTTCCCGCGAAATTATGACTCAAATGTCAAAATTTCCCGTCAAAATTTCATTCGAAGTCATGATTTCCCGGGAAATCAAGACCTCGAAGTCCTAATTTCTTGGAGTCTTAATTTACCGCTAAACCGGCCCGCACAGTGGTCAACTGAGCTATGATATGGCGAAAATATTCAAAAAATAAAAATCAAAAAAACCAATTGAGCTTTTTTAATGTTCTCCTTGATTATTGAACTTGAAGTTAAAAAAGTATTAGAAAATACTTTTTGTTTCTTCTGTCTCCAAATACATTTTTTTTGACACCAGATGGTGTTGTAAACAAATTTTTTTTTTCTTGCATGGAAAATCATAGATTGTTATTGAAAATTAGAAAAGAGTTGAGGGTCACCAAATAAAAAAAAAAAATACATTCATGATTACATGTAATCGCTTAACTTTAAATTATTTAAATTATAATATATATTTTTGGTTTTGAACTAGCTTAAAATGAAAATTTGAAAAGTACAATATTTTCATCATAATTATATGCATTTTTAAAAAGTTGTTGTCAATAATTATTTGCATTTTTAAAAAGCTGTTAAAAAGTGTTGAAAATTGTAAAATATTCTTTAAAAACTTAATTTTTCTTCTTTCAGACAATTAAAAATTTGTGTCCGCATATTCCGAAAAATAGATATTTTAAAATTTGAAACCTGAAACTTTTGTATATATACGTCAAAAAACTGCACAAAATTTCCGATAGCACCAAAACTTTATCGTCGGCCGTAAATCGGAACAGAACTTGATTTTATTTGAATCTTTAAAAGTGCATAACTATTTTATTTTTCGTTTAATTTTAAAGTCTTTGTACTCAAAATTTAATTCTTTTTATTCTCTACATCATACTGCAATGGTCAGTCATTATTGTTAAAAAAATAGTAAGAATAATTAGCATTTTTACAAAAACTACCATAAAAACTTTAACAAAACCATTTTTTTATTTGAAGTATTTACCCAAAATTTTCGAATTACCAGGATTTTGTATTAATATTGTAAAAATAAAATAAAATGATGTATTTGTTCTGTTTTAGACATACCCCATTCCAAGTATAGATCTTCTGAAAGCTATGCAAACTAGTGGGCTGAAATTTATTGGTGTTCCTGGTCAGCTGAACTTCTTAGAAACCTACATTCTTTCTCGTCTGTCACTCACTTTTAAGGAGGTTGGAGACACATTGGGAGAACTCAGGCAAAAAATCAGAAGTTTTTTGGTCAATGTAGAAAAAGTATACAAGAAAAATTCCTACCACATTGACAGGCTCTTTGAAAGTGCAACAAAAGGAAGCTTTCTCTCCAAGGATTTTATTCTTCCTGATAAACTTCTTAAAAAAGTTGAGGTAAAAATAATTTGTAAGTGAAAAAAAAATCTATTTGATCAAGATTAATTTAATTTTTAAGAATTCTGCAATGATAATACTCTTAAATTTACTTTTTTCTTCTCATATTATGTGACGTGATTTATAGTACTACCCATGAAAAGATTGTTTTGATAACAAATTATCTTTTTAAGGGACCCGTCTCAACCTAAGAAATCAAAGGTAGGGTGACCTTCAAAAGACTTTGAACATAAATCTCTCCGTGGGAAGCAACTTTCAAGTGCAGAAATTTGTACCAATCATGAAAATGGTGCCATCTTGTTAGCTGCAGCTCAATTTGCAACAAAACTGGGGTTTATGGTCCACAAACTACTAAATCAGCCTGAAGAGGTTGTCAACAATACCTTGAAGGCAGCTCTGGAAGCTCCTCTAATGATGTCTGTCCTAAAAACACCAACTACTGCCCTTGCCTTCATCCTCAACAACAATATTTCAAGAGAACATATTGCCAACTAAAAGAGGAATGTGCTGAAAACTTTTCTAACATCTGGCCAAATTATAATGTTGTAAGTGAATACATTTATTGTCTCTTTAGTTAATAATTATAATAAAAATAGATAATAATTTTTTGCTGATGTAATTTCAACTTAGGTCTGTAAATTTAATTTCAGGTTCTTGAAACAAAAAAAGATTGCAGACCTGATGGAATTAAAGGAGATGCACTGACAGCAAAAGTTCCACTTTAAAATCTTTTGAACCAATTAGGTTTTGAAAATTTAATATCTGAAGATGGCATAGTTCCTGAATATCACTAACAAACGAATGTTGAAATAACGGGTGTTGCAGTTGTGAAAAGATAATGTCTGCAGTTGTTTTGTTATTAAGAAGTCGAAGGAACAAGTTTAACTTATTTTGTTGAACACTTTTTGAAATTTCCTGGATTTTAAATAACGAATTCATATAGTTTTTACTATGTTTTGAAACATTTAAAAACGATTTTAGCGCTCTCCTTCCAATTATATCTAGCTTTTTCATCAGACCAGGATTATTTTCACATAGCTCGATACCATAAGTTAAGGTGGGGACTGCCAATGATTTATATATATAGGAAATAGAACTAAGGTGGGCAAACCGGATTCCAGATTGAATAAGAGTTTGAACAACAGCTCTAAAGTTTGATATTTTTTCATCAACATTTGAATAACCGAGTGAAGCAAAAACTGAATGTTTAGTATCCCATGTGAATCCCAGATGTCTAACTTTATTCTGAAGATTTTTTTTATTACCAGAAATTGTTATTGTATTAGTTTGTATTTGGGCTTTACCTGAGATCAAGAACTCAGTCTTTTCGGCATTCAGTTTAATACAATTTAGATTACTGTAAATATTGCATGTTTTTATAAGCTTTTTGAGACCAGATAAGGTAGAGCTTAAAAGTATTATATCATCCGCATAGGCTACCACACCAGTAAAGTTACCGTTTATAGATGTGCCAACAATACCCTGATTTTTAATAGTTTCGAGAAGACTTTCAGTGTAAATATTATAGAGGTGAGGCGAAAGAATTGATCCTTGTCTTACTCCTTGGTTTAGAGGAAAAGAGTTTGATTTACAACCTTGATATGAGACTGTTGCGCTACTATTGTTATACAACGAGGAGATAGTGTTAACTATACATAGTGGTAATTTTTTATCGAAATATAATTTTTCAAATAGGATATTCCAGTTACAGCTATCAAAAGCTTTTTCTGCATCTAAAGAACATAGATACACAGGGGAATGGTTGCTGTTTTAATGTTTAATTGTTTCGCTTATTAGAAATTCAGCATGTAGCGTTGAAGAGTTAGCATTGAATCCAAATTGTAGGGAGTGAGTATCTCTAATATCCGGACATATAATTAAGATCAAGTATTCTAGAACCTTTGTAAAAATTGGTATAATACTAATACCACGATAGTTGCTCGGGCTATCTAAAGACTTTTTCTACGATTTAACAAAGGGTACAATAGTTGACGTCGACATTGATATTGGAGTCGATCCATAATTAATGGAGTAATTAAAAAATTTGATGAGCCATTTTGTTAAAGTATCGCACTTTGCGTATTTCAAATGTTCTGCTGAGATACCGAAAGAGTCAGGAGATTTTTTTAATTTTAAATTTGAAATAGCCCCAATTATATTTTCTTCAGTTATTGTTACATCATCATGTTTTGTACACGGGGGAATTCTCTGATTTTCTTTACGATGTGTTATTTTTGGAGTATTCAGTACTCTTTCGAAGTGGTTTGCGAATTCTGAAGTAATGGATTCTTTGTCTTTTTTATCATTTATGGTAAATAATCTAGAATTTATGTCTTTGTTTAAACATCTAAAAGCATTCCAAAAGTTTTTTGGTTTAGTATTTTTAACTTTTCAATTTTAATATATTGTGCGCAAATTTTAATTTTTTGAGCCGACTTGACGGCTTTACGAAAGTTTTTACGAGCCATTTGGTAACGGTTAAATGATACCGAGTTTAACTCTTTAGAAAAACCAGAATCTCTCCATTTTTTAAAATGAATTGAAAGAATAGTTTTAGACCGACTTAATTCAGGTGTCCACCAAAATTTTGAATGCAAACATTGCATTATGAAAAACAATGAAGTCGTTAATGCGCAAAACAGTTATTTAATTAAAAAAAAAGAAAAGGCCGGTGTAGTATGAGATTTTTACTCCCATTTTTTTTTTACTCTATAAAAAATTGATTTGAAATTTGTGCCGCGGAGAAAAAAACGCGTATGAAATTTTTACCTTCTTTAGGAGATTTTTACTCTTATTAGATATTTTTACCGTTATGTTAATATAGTGCTTAATTATTATATTTAATAAAAGTTAAACTTTTAATAATAACTTTTTTTAGCTTAATTTATTTTCTACATTTTAGTGGGAGTAAAATTTCTTATATTATTTTAAATAAACGGTGAAAATGTAAATTTTACTGATAATCTTTTTTAAACTTAAAGATCATAGAATATGCAAGTACTTGAATATGCAAGTACTTGTCCAAGGCTTTACAAGTTTACCACCGTTTCTATCATCACGTCTGCTATTTCTTAGTAACACTTTTTTATTTATGCTAATTTCATTATTTGATCCAATTCTCTTGTCGTGATCATGTTTTTGTCTTTTTTGAGATTTTTCAATTTTTTTATAAGCATCGTCAAAAATTTTATTCTTCATTTTATTCATTCCATGAAAGGTATCTGAAACTATTTTTTTGTTAGAGAAATCATCATTGCTAAGAGCGTTATCATCATTAAGTCAATTAAATTGCAATCTATATCAATAGGAAGAACTGCTTCTATTTGGTAAAGCAATGCAAACGATGAAAACCCAGTAGACTTTCTAACTCTTAAAGAAAACAAAACACTATCAATAATGTATGGCCATTCCAGAGCAGCCTCATCAAGTTTTTACTAATATACGTTAAATTGTTTGATTTTGTCTCTCTACTAATCCATTAGCTTGAGGATGATATGCACTCGTAATTCTTTGAATTGTTCTTGTTTTTGAGTAAAGTTCTTTAGAAATTTCGTTTGCAAACTCACGACCCTGGTCATTTATTTGAATTTCAAAACAGCCATGTCGACATATCTGTTCATACAAAAAAAAAAGCCACAGCTTTAGCAGTTTTATCGGTAGGTGCTTCTGCTTCAACCCATTTACTGAAGTAGTCAATTAATACAACCAGATATTTGCAACCGTTAACTTCTGGTAGCTGTGTTAAATCGATTCCTACCTGCTTCATATTGCCTATAGGAATTAAAATATTTTGCAGCAATGGTTTCGACTGAAGTTTTCTGTTCTTTGACTTTTGGCATTAGTCACATTTGGAAACATAAGTTGTAATATCTTTTATCATTCCATACCAGAAAAATCTACTTCCAATGTGATAGGTTGTGTTATTAATACCTGTATGACCAGATAAAGCTTTAGACTCAACAGAGACATCGTTTCTTTCATGAACAAACTTTATTATGTTTTGTTATTCATCTCTACTCCAAATAAGTTTTCTCTAAAAAAAAAAAAAAACTGTTAACCATCAGTGTAATGAGAATCAAAACTAAATTAATTTTCATTATTTATTAAATAAATTATTTGTAAATATTCGTGTTTATTTGGTGACTAGATTCTAGTTGCAAAATGGCAAAACTATTAAAACATTTTGAAATAATAGCATACCTTTGCAGCTTTATTTAAATGATATAACTCATTATTATCAACTATAAATGTCTTCTAAAATTGGCTTTATCGCCTTTATTTAAAACTTCTTTTGGATATATTTGGTAATTTAAGTAACTAAAAATGTCTGCAAATCTAGAGTGCATGTTTTATTGATATGCAATTCCGCTAATAACAACTTGAGAGTAAAAATAAAATAGTGAGAGTAAAAATCTCATATGCTTTTTTTTACTCCGCGGTAAAAACTTCATACGATATTTTTTTTTACTCCGCGGTAAAAACTTCATACGATATTTTTACTGGGGAGTAAAAAAAACACGGGAGTAAAAATCTCATACTACACCGGCTTTTTCAAAGCATAAAAAAGTGGCTCTTTTAAAAAATTGTATGATTCTGAAATTAAACATTTTTTTCCTAAACTTTAATCTAATATTATTTGTGGAAAAGAAGGACACACACACAGATATATATATATATATATATATATATATATATATATATATATATATATATATATATATATATATATATATATATATATATATATATATCATGGCCTACTTTATAGAAGGCCTCGACACCGTGCGGGAATTTTTTTGACTGAAGGCCAATTTAAAAATAAAATGGCGGTTTATTAAAAGAGAAAAATGCTGTACAGCTTTGCTAACACTAATTATTTAATAACTAATTATTCTATTTGAAAAAATTTTGGATGCATTTTTATAAAATGAGTTTCTTGACGTTAATTTGACAACTATTTTATAAGCTTAAATAGTTTGTAAAGTTGATTAGAAACATTTTAAATCAAATTTTTGAATATACAAGAAATAATAAATAATCAGAAAAATACATTAATAACAAATCTAATTTTTTTTGTACTAAATCTTCCCAAAAATTAATAAGCTTGATTTCTTTTAGTTTTGCTTCTTTATTACTTTTGGGAGTGTGAAGTAATGCAGTTCTTTAAAAAAATGTTTGCTAGTGTTTGGGATTGTTTCTTTGCAATAAAAAAACTATACAACTCTGCAATAAAAGCAAACTGTCGTATCAGAAATGTTCTGCAAACTTTTTTATCTAATAAAGAAAATAATATGTAACAAAATAAAGACCACTGAGATAGAGTATCAGATGGAATAGTTAATCCTCCCCTATTTAAAGTGTTCAAATAATTTCCATATTTTTCATAATATGTAGTTGTGTCTTCACCAATTTCTTCAGTAGAACACTTTTGAACATAACCAGCAATATAAATAATAGCATAAAAAATTTCTATATTTATACTATCTTCTAGATCTGGTAAATTGTAAATTATATCAATTTCCATTTCATCTAAATCTTTAAGACATAAAAGACAGTCATGGCCATCATTTCCTTCTACTTCGATATTCAGCTGTAGCACCAGCTTAGCATGTTGAATACGTACTTTTTCGATAACTGATTTAGCAGTTATAAAATAAGTACCACCAGAACCTTGCCGTAGTTTTCCGAAACATTTCTCAATTGGATCACTAGAAAACCAACCTAAAATAACATACTTATTTCCACTTGATAAAAGATGACAAGACAAATCAATTAGTCCACGACAAGTGTGTGAAAGTGCATTGCTTGTATCTCTCGTAAGCTGGCGAATTTGTTTACCAGATGTTGGTTTCATATATTCTGCCATTGTTGCAATAGCAAGTAACTTTTTTAAATTAATGAAGATCTGATTACATTATGACTCATCCCTAAATC